CCCCTCTCCCACCTCGGCGAAAACGCCATCCCCCGTGAGCGCGGAGAGGACGGAAAACTCCACCGTCAGCGAACCGGCCCCCGCCAGGGAAGATATCGTTGTCTCTCCTTTCGGAACGCCTCTCTTCAGATTCACCGTGCCATACGGGATTCCTGCNNNGGGGGGGGGGGGGGGGATGGGTGATTGGGATGGGGGTTAACGCTGAGGCAACACAAGGGGGCGGGGGCAAAACCGTCTCTGCTCTCGGAGCGCCTCTTTGTAGTTCAATCGTGCTGTACGGGATTCCTTGAGGGTTAAGGTCGAGAATCATACGGGTTTAGGGGGCGGGGACTAAATGGTCTTTTCCCCTCTCCGAAATCGCTTGTCGCTTGAATATACCTGACAGCTGAGTGACGTCGCAGCCCCCTAAACTACCTGTACTTGCCGCAATTCCTCAGAACGTCACAGCATCCAACTACAAAAACCGTTGATGAAAGCATCGTACAACCCCTAGGTCCCTGCTTTCCCTTTCTCGACGCGAAACCAACACAGCACGACCTCTGCACCTGTTGGGGTTTTGAAGGCCGGCAGCAGGCGTCGCCCGAGCCTCTCCGCCAGCACCAGCAGCTCTCCATCGTACTGCTCTTCACCGCTCTCTCCCTCCCCCTCCTCCGCCCTGTGTCCGATTTCTTCGGACCAGTCATCGTCCAGTCCACGGAACCCCCCCTTCTCGTCCGACTCCCGGTCTTGGCCATACCCACCGACACTCCTTTCCCCAGCCGCGTTCCCCCCTCTATCGGAAAAGCGAACACCGTTGCCGTTGTCTCCAACACACCGGCCACCACCGCCGTCTGCGCCCCTATCTCTTCTTGTCGCCGCAATAGCAGTAGCAGCAGCAGAGCAGTCGTCTATCTCGCTATCCTCAGCAGTGTCAACCTCTGCTGTGGGGCGGGCACAAGGCGAGGAGGGGAGTGAAGTTGGGTGGGAGACGAAGAGAGCTTGAGATTGTACGGCCGCAGCACGTACAACGGCATCGTGAGAAAGAGTGCCCCGCACGAGGGTATACATTCACAGAGATGCAGCAGCAGCAGCAGTAGCAGCAGTAGCAGCAGCGGCAGCGGCAGTAACTGCACCCAAAACAACGATACCCGGTAGTGGTAGACATCGCGCGTTGCAGCCGCGTCGCCTTCGGGCATAAGAATAATTATAGGAATAAGAATAAAGAAGGACAAGGAGAACAAGAATAAGGCCAGCGACGGAAGAGTGGCCGGTCCTCATCGGCGAGTGACCGAGAGGTCAGCCGTAACACGTTGCCCCGGGCGACCTCGACACGTACCGTTGCCCAGGGCAGACGCTACAACGTCGCGCACGACTCACAAGGTATGTACGGAGCCGACGGAACGATCGACGAAACGTTGCCGGATAAATAAACACACGGAGAGCGCAAGGGTTGAATCTCGTGGAAGGATTACGCGCACCTCATGCACACCCGTACATCAACCAAAACAACACCGTCAAAAACGATCGCGAGAACACTACCTACGGGGGTGGGGAGTGGGGGGGATTCGTCAGGAATGGGAGAGGGGACAAGGGTTGGCATACGGACAATCCCGGCAGGGTTACGGCAGAAGCTCTGTGGGGGTTGGCGGGTGGAGGATTCGCATGTATGAAATGTAAACACGTTAAAAGTGAAAGAAAAACGGGGCAACGGACGTGAAGGGAACGAACAACTGACGATTTCCACATGCCACTCGCAGCCGGTGATGCCCGTGTCTGCAAGCAATGGAGAGCGGGTGAGGGAGGATACAGGAGGAGGCACTTAACACGATGGTTCGCGCGACACAAGGCCTAACGTAATGGCCGGCGGCTTCGTGCCCCCTCTCCCTTCCAAAAAATGATATAAAAAGAGCAACAGAACAAAAGCAGGTCGTGCTTGACGTCACTCACGGCTGCGGTAGAGGCCGAGGTCCGGGTTTGTCGCGAGAAGGTGCGCTGAAAGCAAGCCACCCAGAATCCTAATGTTGCTCTCGAACACGGACACGTCTGCGTCTGCCTCCACGTCGAGGCCGTCGGAGACAAGCCTTCGGGCACAGCAGACAGGAAGGGGCGAGAAGGGCGGTGAAGAGGGGAGAAAAGGGGGTGGGAGGGGCCTACTGCCAAGATCTGCGAGGATGAGGTGGAGAGGGAAGATCGATGGCTACAATAGCCTTCAACGACGCACCTTACGGCTCTCCGGAACTCGGTGGCGTTGCCCATGATGGCCAGAGCGTCCAGGCTGTCCACCAAGGTAACCAGGGGCACCTTAGGGTTGAGGGTTGGTCGATAAGGCCCGGTTCAGAAGCTTGCTTTGCTCTCGGCTTTTTGCATCTACACCGGGGAAGAGCCTTTTGCAGCGGGCGTTTCTGTCGCCGTTATGTTGAAATATGGTACGCAGGAAAGGCCCTCTGTGTGGGCTGCATTATGCAGCGGCGGCAGTGGCCATGTAGCGAGAAGCGCAAACAACGGCGGCAGGAACGACGCCAGCGGCAAGGATGACAGCACCGACACTCGCAATATCAGGGGGAAACGACCAGGAGCGGCTTTTTCGACCGGCGTTCGGGCTGTACAGCATATTTGATTTTGCCTGCAAGAATACCCCCGGCGACAGGAACTACAACAACAACGAAGAGTGACGGGAGAACCGACTTCACCACAACAACAACAACGTCACACCGGCCAGATCTCAAGGAGGCCATGCTTACAGCGAAACGCATACCCCTGCGCCCCAAACGAGCCACCTTCGCGTCGACTCTAGGAGTCCACGCCAGGCGGCACGAAATACTCTCCTCACCTTGGCTATATACGAATATCGAAACTACGAGAATCACCAAGCAGCTACGAAGGCGACTAGTCGCCAAATGCGTGAGACACCTTAACGAGGTGGAGCTCGCCCGATCCGCAAGAAAGCGGCAGGAGTTCCCCCCCGGGAAAGGCGTGTCTCATGTAACCGTCGTACGAGTGGATGAACATCTCCCGGATTTCCTCCCGTAGCTCGAGGCGTCTTTCTCGGGTCATTGGCTGCGGGGGCAGGGGTGGCGACGGTGTGGGTGAAAGCAGGGCATGCGAGACAGATGAGAAAGAGGGGCGGAGGAGCAGAAGCTGTACCAGTAAGCAGCGTTAGCAGCAGAATAACCCGCAGTGGCAGCTAGGTGCACGGCAATAAGCAGCAGCGCCAACGGCACGCAATGGCGTGTCGGTGTCGAGCACCAGGTGCGGAAGAGGTTCCGTCCAAGGCCTGGTGACAAAATTCTGCGTTTCTTGTGGTGTGCCCACATCTTCGTGCGAGTAGGCACCTATCTCATCATGGCTATTGTTCACTTACCTCCTTCGCTCTTCATTATCTCCCTCTCTCTCACCTCCCCTCTCCATTGCACTGCACATGTTCGCCTTTCGTTTGAAGGCAGACACCTGGTCAAAGTATCACCCGCGTAACCTAACTCTACCACGCCTTTAAGCAGTGATTTCGACACTTTCGATTCCCCCCCCCTCTCCTCACCTGCCGTCTGTCGTACTCAAGGAAACCCCGCTGGTGCCGCGACACGAACGGCTTCGGCGGAGGAGTCTCGTGCACATCACCTTCTACCAACATGCCGCGTGTCTTGGCCCCTTCTAGTCTGCGGCTGTTTCTCCCGCTGGCGCGGATAGGCTCATCAACCTCCGGCTGCACACATGGAGCATGCACCATGGATATTCCGCGTGAAACGGTGCAAAAAGAGCGGGGTGGGGGAATGTGAGGAGGAGGAGGGCAGAGAGACGCAGAAACACACAGAAATGCGATGCCGCCACACAAACTATGATCTGTTTTTGGATACCACGAAACATGAGGTGTGCAAACTGCGAAATACGAAGCCGTAAATAATAAAAACTGGAAACCGTCGTTATGCCGTTCGTCGCTGAGGAATAGTTAGTCCATCCGCCACCTTTACTTGCATTCTCACAGCGGGACTGTGGGCAACATGTTCAAGGCGTATTGTTATAGCACCAACCAATAATCCGGACGCTGCATGTCTTGTTGTACATGGCACACACTACCGGGGGAGCCCCGCGGAAAAGATTTCCCCCCCGGTGTTTCCCCCCCGACCCTGACGTCAATTCCGTTGGCCAGCCACTCAAGCGCAGTCAACGATGCAAGCACGAAAACATACAGACTAAAGCACACATGCGCGCGCGCACACACACAACCGCACTGAGACTGACGTCTTTTCATTGGTCAGCCGGTTAGCGCGGTCGATGCTAATAGTAATTAAAAAAAAACACACACACACACAAGACGCGACCACGGGCAACGGCAGGGTATGCCGTTTCCCGGCAGACTGAAGACTCACGTAAGCCGGGCAGAGGAGATGCGTGCAGACCGATGCAACCAGGTGTACGCACCCCTCCTCGTCCCCTTCCTCACCATCCCCCCCCCACCCGCCTTCTTCCTCCTCCTCCTCCTCCTCTTCTTCTTCCTCCTCCTCCTCCTCNGCCCGGTCCCTCTTGTGCGCTAGGCCGACGATTGTCGCATCTGCTTCGCTGCTGCTGTTGGTGTCTCCTGGCTCGCCGGCCGTAGAACCACAACACCAGAGGTTGACCGTCTGTGATGTTGACGTTGATGAGTGGCGCGGAATTTTGGGATGAGGGATAAAATGAGCGGCAATCACAGGGAGGCCGGGGGTGGGTGGGGTGGGGGGGGGGGCACAGGACCGATACGCGCATGAACTGTCCGCGATTGGCTCGGAAAAGAGGAGATCGAATTTGTTGCCGTAACGACCGCAAAGGTATCGACAGCAACTATTACAAAAGCGACGACGATGACGACCACGACGAGGACACAACAGCCAACAACGACACAGGCAACGTCAATCCACAGCGTTACTAGCGTAAATATATGCATACCAGCAAATAAAAATAGTTCCATGACAAACTCACCGCCCGGACAGTATCATGCCTCGCGCCACTATCACCCCTCCTCGTAACCCCCGCCCCTCGCAACCACGCCGGCCCAACCCCTGGTCCCTCCTGTCCTTCGCCCGCCTGCTCCTGCATGCTGCCGCCGACGGGTCTCGAGCAAGAGACGTCGCCCGAGAAGTGTTGCGCCACGGCCGGATAAAAGCGGGACGCCCGAGTACCCTCCTCTCCCTCGACGTCCTCCTCGTCGTCGTCCTCCTCCCCCGCACCCGGAATGACCGGTCCGAGAGTCACCGTCGTCTCGTCGCTCATGCCGAAATCGAGTTGCTGCCGTTGTTGACGTTGGAGTTGGTGTCAGGAAGGTTTCGGCCCGTCGCGGTCCCCCCGGGGGGGGAGGGGGGGCGTGGGGTTGTGGAAACACCGAGAAGGAGGGGGGGGGGGGGGGNGGGGGGGGGGGGGGGGGGGGGGGGGGGGGGGGGGGTGCGGAGTGTGTGTGTGTGGAAGAAGGGTTGCAAAACGTGGAGGCGACAGAGGAGGGGGGGTGCGGCAGCAACTCGGCGAAGAGGAGAGAGCACAGGTGGATGACGGGGGCTTGGGGAGGGTGAACGGTTTCCGTTCAACACGTTTTCGTTTCTCCACCAGCAAACTGGACACCTCGCTTTTCGCAAGCACCCGCCCGGGGCTAATCTGAATCCTGGATGCACAAACGCACGCCAGAAAGCAAACCACACAACACACGCATGCATTTCAGCATGTTTTCGCGACCGTCGCTGTATTCATGTTTTTGATTTCATGAGCAAGCTGGGTACAAACGCACGATGGTACACGATGTGTAGCAACCCCCCCCCCCCCCCCCCCCCCCCCCCCCCCCCCCCCCCCCCCCCCCCCCCCCCCCCNATGATCCACCGTAACGGGTATGACAGGAAATTTCTCGCTTACTCGCGGACAACTCAGTTCCAACGCTGTGTAACGCTCTCGCTTATATATTGAAGGCAACGGCGCTGTGGGAGCGACTCGGCCCCGGAGGCATCATACCAGAACGGTCGACGAAGAAGCGATGGCCACTCAAAATTCTTGTAGCCATATTTGCTTGGTTTGTGAAAGCGAGCCTTAATGTCAAGGCAAGATCTTTCGAGAAAAAAAAGCGGTATCGACAGCAACAGCCGAAAGAAGCAGCAGCCCCAGCAGTATCAGCAGCAGCCGCTGCATCTTCATAATCCATCATCATCATCGTCATGAGCAGCAGCAACAGCAACACAACCAACAGTAACGGCGACGACAACACGGGCGAGAGTAGAGAAGGTGGGCAAAGATCTCGCCACCAGGGCCCCCACCCACCGGCGGCATTCGGCCCCCCTCCACGCGCACCGTCGACCGTCCCTTGTGGCACCACTGGAACACGAAGGGCTTCGACATGGTGCGGTTCCCCTCGGTCCACGTGCTGGGCAGGTAGGTGAAGCACCGAGACTCGAGAGGCCCCAGCATCTCCTCCACCTCTCCCGCCGTCGGAAGATACCCTCTACCCTTCCCGTCGCCGCCTCCGTCGTTGCTCCCGGCTGCTGGACTTAACGATGATGACGGGTTTCCGGCCGCTAAAACGCCAACCCTGATCCCGCTGCCGCCGCCGCCGCCGCCGCCGTTCTCTCGGCTTGAGCCCCGCGCGCGTAGCCCAAGAGAGAGCGCGAGGGCGAAGCCGGCGGTCGCGGACAGGTCGGCAAAGGATAGCAGGCGGCGGCGGCGAAGCCGCCACCGCCGCCGCCGCCGCCACTGTCGTCGGAGGAGATCTTCTTCTGGGAGGGGGGAGCTGTGTTCCCGTTTCGCCGGCGGCGGCGCAGTGGCGACCGCGTCGGGTGTGGCGTGTTCGTCGTTTTGTTTGTGGCGGCGGTGGCAGCGGCCCTGGCAACTTCCTTGCCGCGCCTGTCGTCGCATAAAAGAGTCCAGCGTGCTTTGTTAGGGACGCGCGAGGCGGCGTTTGGAGGGGGACATGTGCATGCGGGTATTGTTTTACGTACATACTTGCAGCGACCTAGCTAGCTCATAGACAAGAGAGTGCGTGTGTTTCTATATTCGGCGTCGACCGTGCTATGTATCTGAACGACGAGTCGGTAAGCAGCAGTCCTTGATAGCGGGATTGAACGTGTTTCCAAAATTAACATCGACCGTGCCAACTGCAATGAAAATGCGTCAGTTACGGAACAACGCGAACACGTATTCTAATTAGTCAACGGGCTCTGGCGGCGGGGTGTGTGCGCGAGCTTCCTTTGTTAGTTAGCATCGACCGTGGATAATGGAGACGTCCGTGCTGCGAAAACTGCTACAAGCACCACATGGTATTGTAGGCAGAAAGGTGCAACGCAACACGCTTCTTGCAGGTGGCGGTCGAATAGGTTGTGGGAACCGTTACGACGGTTTTGGGGGGCTTAACGTGTCAAACCGCAACATACGCGCTCAACACGATCCAAAACATAGGCAGCGGCATACAATACAAAGTTGGGCATTCAAAAAAACTGGCAGTGGCCCAATGGAGCTACAGTAGCTCCTTGTAGCCAAGCGTTCCAACGTTCAAAGTTGTGGGAGCCAGCCGCCCACGACTTGCATGCTCTGTACATGTTGTAGTCTTAACGCGACAGCACCTGTACCGATTGTTGTTGGTGTGCCCTGACGGTAGTTGGAACAAGTTGCACCGGGGACATCGATGTACATCAGCTACAGGGTGGGAGGATCGATGCAGGTCCTCTCTTGCACGCACTGCTGCTGCTGTGATACGATCGTCGTCCTTTTCACGCAGTGGTTCATGGTTCCTATTCGAGTGCTCTACCCAAGACTATTTAGTCTAGTAAACTACGAACAAGCAACATCTACGTGATGTGTTTTTTGCTCGCTTACAGCTTATAGGCTAAAGGGTGGAGACGTCAGTGTTCCACGACAAACACCGCACGTTACAACATGGATAACACGTCGACATTTTCCGATGGCTGGCACGTCTCGCTGTTGTTGTCTACGCTTCGGAACAGCAGTGCCCGTTGGTGGTTGTGCAACGGTGCACCAAGGCTTAAAGTCAGTAGTGTAGCAGCACCAGTGTTGTTAACAATGCGCTGCAAGCGTGTGCGTCTCTCTCACCATTGCTGCCGCTGCTCCTGTCGCTTTCGCCATGTCTCTATGGTGCACGACGTCTACCGGAGTAGAAAGAGCACTGCAAACAACAACGCGATTAACGGGAGATGGACACAGAGAGGGACAGAGAGACGACAGGGCGAGAGGGACCAGAGGAGGTGGCGAGAGCGGGAGCGAGCTGATCTCCGGAGAAGAGGGGGGAAAAAAATTGTGCGATAAAAAAAAAAAAAGCGAGACTGTTGAGGGCAGCAAGAGAACTGAGAGAACGTGCGGTGTGGCTAAGTTTAGCGCAAAATTAGAGCCCAAAGCATAGGATCTCTAGCAACAGCAGCGCACCAAACTGGAGCGGCACTCTTAAGAAGATCCCCGTTTGGTCACAAGATGTCCGGATTCCAGGAAGGTAGCGAGAAGATGCACGAGGTGTCTCCTGTTGCGGTGAGTTGATGACTGCATTGCACTCCCCCTAGCGCCTGTGAGCCATGAGGCGCTATGCATACATACCAGGGTCTACGCGATAAAGGAAGCCACCTTCAGCCGTCTCCATTGCCCTCCATTTTCGTTCACGGTATGTCAACTTGTACGCTATTTTCATTAGCCGTGCAATTGCGTGTGGGCGTGAGCGCTACGACTATACGAGGTCGTCGTTGTGGTGCAGGGCTCAAGCACACGTGAGGCAGGCCCAGTCGTAGGTCGCAAGAAACCACCCCCCCTTTGAGCGGCGTTCAAGGCTCGGTTGCTCCACTGGCTTGTGCTGTACAGCGGGTTTGACCGATGGTTCTAGACTGGTTTTCAGAAGCTGCGGTGGATTGCTTTTCGGAAGAGGATTCTCGATTGATCTCGGCCCCCAAGCAGCTTTCGCTTTGGTTCCAGGGTATTGGGTGTCTTCCAGCAGTACAGGCAGCACTGCCGCATGTTGCAGCGGCGGAGACGTACCCCACGGCTACTGATGTGTTGCCTATCGAGTCAATCCACCATATAGAGACTCCTCGCTCTTGGTGGTAAGCGTTCGCGTGTGGGCAGATGGAATTGTCCTTCTGCCACGCTGAACTCGCTCAAGCAAAATATATGCTAGAACTACAATGGTGCAGCGAAGAGCAGTTAGCGGTCTTTGCGGTCATTGGTTGTGGGGGCGGAGAGTCCCAACGCGCCTTGCCGTGTACCCCCGCACTAACCCGCGGCCGCAGAGAAGCTTTGCAACGGAGACAACAACTCTAAGTGGGTAGGCACACAGCAGCACTCTGTGCGCAGAATCAAACGTAGAGAGAGAGAGGGGGGAGGCTTCGACACGAGATCACGACTCCGTTGTTCTGTTTGTCCGCGAGGCAGGCCAACGCCAACGGCACCGAAGCAGGAGCGGCGCCGACACAAGCACCGGAACCGGAACCGGCGGCGGCGGCGGCGGCGGCGGCTGCTGCTGCAACGGGAGCAGCTCCCGCCGAAGGGGGCGAGAAGAAGCTGTCCAAGGTACGCACCGTTTGCCGTAGAGTGCTAGGCCTCCCCCAGCTAACCTCCTATGCTGTAATAGACTTATCGGGACTGTCGCCACCGACGCCGACCTTACCAGTGTACCCGCAGCGCTCACCTAAAGCGGAAGCCCTAGCATAACTTACAACGACTTTGGTTTGGACAATGCCGAAGGCTGCAATTTGTTGTCATTTATGGTGGTAGACGTGTCCATCGTGTGCAACCGATGACCCTACTGGGCGAGAACGACTCGGGGAGACTGGAGCATTAGCCTTAGCAGGGCCTCTATAGTACTCCAGTATGTAACCATGTTGGATACAGTATACAATCGGGGAAGTTGTGTTAGGGTTTGGGTTAGGGTTAGAGATAGAGCCTGCGTGCCCCCCTCCCTTTTCTTTTTCCTCATAGCTTAATTTCTCGCGAAGGCGGTCCGGCCGGAGCGAGTGTCGCAGCATGTGTGGCATTAATTTGTGTGTGCCCATTCGCTGCCACTGCTGTGTTGTTGTTCCTCGCATATACGCATTCGTACTTGAAGAACACGGCAGAGAAGCCGACCCTAAGACGTTGGACGCCCTAACTTGTGTTGCGTTGGACGTGTGACACGGAGACACGGCAAATATCCCAACGAGTAACAAGCCTACCCCCCCCCCCCCCNACGTTGTAAAACAAGCCCCCTCCCCGGTGTTTGCCATCGGGGTTGGATTTTCGTCGCTTGGCAACGACGTTGTAAAACGAGCGCCCCTCCCGGTGTTTTCAATCGGGGTTGGATTTTCGTCGCTTGGCAACGACGTTGTAAAACGAGCCCCCCCCCCGGTTTTGAAGAGCGTAATCGTACCGCCGCTAGAGTACGCCGGAGAAGTATGGGAAGGACATAAGAAGGTAGTGAAAGAACTCGAGGCGGCG